ATGTACCTCGGACAAAGCAACGCTTCCCAAACACTGCATTGTCAGCCGAGACTATGAGCTGAATGTCCCAATGTTGGACTACAATATTTGACTCAGAGACCAGAGTGCTACCTAGAGAGCCAGGCTGGCAAACTTGTTGAACAGTGTGATTCAGGTTGTTTATACATGCATTTGGAGCAGACACACACGGGCACACACACACGTATTATGCACATGTGCATTTATACACACAAACACAGAGACATGAAAGCTTAAGAAAACTAAATATTTCCCCCACCTACAATGCAATTCTATTTTAAAATATTTGTAATCTTTGGCCGAGATTCAAGCATCTGTTAATATTCACTGCCTTTTTAACCAAATCGGAGTACCATTCATTGTAGAAAATGATCTTGATCATATTAATTTAATGTCACTGAGAAAGCACCTCATGTATTGCTGTGAGCAGTGGAGTACTGGAGCTTGGAGGATGATAATCAGAAATTTAATTCAGAGTATGCCTTTAGTGACCACAATGTGCAGCTTGCATTTCCAAAGACCTCAATACCTATGCAGCAACTGGATAGACAGTCTTTCCTAAAGCAGGTTTCTTTCCAAAACTCACCACAGAATACTGCAAATGGTACCATCCAGATTAGAATTGTGTGGTAATTTACCAAACCAATCATAGCTACTACTGGCTCACCTGCTATTCTATTCAATAATCTTATAAAATCTTACTGTCTCCAATTATTGGCTCCACTTTTAATACTAGATCAACAATTATTTGTTTTAGAATCTGGAGATTGGAGTTATGCCAACTTTGCAATCTGGGGACTGAAGTCTACTAACACTTTGCCCTTGTCTGTCCTTCGGGGTGGGGGAAGTGGGAGCGGTTAGTTAGTTTCCCACTCAACTCCTGTTAACCCTGTAGGGTGGTCCTGACTGGAAAAGCAGCAGGAAGCTTGCTAGACATGGTTTCCAAGCCTTGACACTTACCAACCTGAGCCCCAAATTTTCCAAAATTAGTTAATCAGGTTAAACCCTCTGAGAAGAGAGTGTATATTCCATTCAGAGGTAAATTTCCATGTGTAGGCAATACACACATATGGAACTCCCAGCCTGAATTGCATTACTCTTAAGGATAGTGATGAGCTTCTTCATGAGTGACTCAGCTGAACAAAAAAAACAAATATCTAGTGCCTTTCACACAGGATGAATGACTCAAAGCGCCTGAAAATGTTAAATTGGACAGTCAGGAAACAATCCACTTAATCCAACAAACAGTGAATTGAAAGAAGCCAGATCGTTGGGTAGGAAGAGTATCTTAAGGACGTGGATAACAAAAAGATAAAAGCACTGCCATGAACTAATAAAATAGTGGGAACGGGCACGAGAGGAATAACCTCCCCCGTTCTTATAAAGAGGATCCAAGTGAAAATTAAATAGCCATAAAACACCTGCAAGGAGACAATGAGCATGTCGTGGCGTTATTAAAATTTAAGATGAAATACCGCTGTATCAAAAGGAACATGCTAAATTGAACAAATGCACTTACTGTCAAAAGCACAAGACTAGTTCAAGTTAGAAATTTAAGACAATATACAATTTACACTTTTATAGGCGCCTTTCATGTTGAAAAGGTGTGCCTACTGGAGATGATGGCGTGGTGGGGTGGGCGGGGGAGGAAAAGGTGAGTGGGGGGAGGGGGTGAAAGATGACGAAAGCATGGTACACCAGAGATACACCCTGAAAAAGGGGGAGTCAGAGAGCGCGATGGAGGGACCTAGGAGTGGAGTTTCAGAGAGGGGGCCAGGACAGCTAAATCTACCTCATGCTATATTTAGCAAGAGCTTAATCAAGATCAAACAGCCATCCCAAATCTATAAACAACCAGTTTAAGAGGCAGCCTGCAAGAGGCTGTGTTCATTCCAGTTTTTGTTATCCAAGGTCCTCCATCACAGTGGATCTACGATGCGAAGGTAGGTGGGAGAGTAAGCTGTGAAGATGACACACGAAGAAATCAAAGGGAAATAGACAGGCTAGGTGAGTGGGCAAGAAGGTGGCCGATTGAGTATAACGTGGGGAAGTGTGAAGTTATTCACCTAGGTAGTAAAAATAGAAAAGCGGATTATTTTCTAGAGGGGGAGAGACTAGTACTAGGGGGAGTGTTAGTATTCAGAGGGATTTGGGTGTCCTGGTACACCAGACACAAATAATTAGTATGTAGGTACAGCAGGGAACTAGGAAGGCTAATGCCATGTTGGCGTCGTTGCAAAAGGGTTAGAGTACAAGAGTTAGGGAAGTCTTGCTGCAGTTGTATAAGGCCTTGGTGAGACCGCACCTAGAATATTGTGTGCAGTTTTGTTCTCCTTATTTAAGAAAGGACATACTCACCTTAGCGTAGATTCACTAGGTTGGTTCCTGGGATGAGGGGGTTGACCTATGAGGATAGGTTGAGTAGACTAGGCCTATAATCCTCTAGAATATAGAAGAATTAGAGGTGATCTTATGGAAACCTATAAGATTCTTAAGGGTCTTGACAGGGTAGATGCCGTGAGACTGTTTCCCCTGGTTGGAGAATGTAAAACTAGGGGTCATAGTCTCAAGATTAAGGATCAGCCTTTTCGAACTGAGTTGAGGAATATTTCTTCACTCATGGGGTAGTGAATTTGTGGAATTCTCTACCCCAGAAGGCTGTAGATGCTCAGTCACTGAACATATTCAAGACTGAGACTGATAGATTTCTAAAGGATAGAGGTATTAAGGGATATGGGGATAGGGCAGGTAAATGAAATTAAGTTAGAAGATCATCCATAATTTATTACAACAACAAAAACCTGGATTTATATAGCTCCCTCCACGCCGCACGGCGTCTCAGAGCGCTGGACAGTAACGGATCCCGGGACCGAGCCGGGGGAGGGAGAGGAAGGAGACCAAAGGCGCGGTCGAAAAGAAAGGTCTTCAGCCGAGACCTGAAAATAGGAAGGGAGGGAGCGAGGCAAAGGGAGTGAGGAAGGGAGTTCCAGAGCCACGGGACATAGTGGCTGAAAGCACGGCCGCCGAGGGTGGAGAGGAAGACTCGGGGGACGAGAGAGGTCAGAGAGGTAGGGGGGTGCAGAGGAGTCCAGGGACTTGAATACGAGGGTGAGGATTTTGAAATCAATCCTCTCTGGGATAGGCAGCCAGTGCAGTCTGGCAAGGACTGTGGTGATCAGGGAGCGGAGTTTGGTGCGGGTAAGAATGCGGGCGGCAGAGTTTTGAATGATCTGGATTTTGTGGATGGGAGACCGGCGAGGAGAGCGTTAGAGTAGTCCAGCCGAGAGGTGGCAAAGGCGGGGCAGGCTCAAGGGGCCGAATGGCCTACTCCTGCTGTTACGTCTTATGGGTGTACATTCAGTGCGGGTTTCAACATACATTTGAAGCACCCTTCACTACAATCACCTAAACCAAAACACAAAAATAGAGTGTACCACGAAAGGATTTAGTGATGATTGGAGGGGGAGAAATAAGTAATTACCTCATAGTACATCTTATTATGGCATAATTATAAATAGCATTATAATGGTTACCAGCCGACACCTGTATCTCATGACCCATCACCAGGCCCATCACCATCACAGTTAAACGCTCCAAGACCCTGCCCTGTGTGAAGGAAGTTATATCAATGCAAGTTACTGCTGTTATTTTGAAACAAAACTGAAGCAGTCTAGAATGCAGGGCATTAAGGAATGCACTATGAGATTATCCTGGAAATTCAGGACATTTCAGGATTAAACTTAAGACAACAAAATAGTGCAAGCTGCTACTGGCGTGGAATGAGCTCACAGAAGCATTGCTTTGTAACCACTCATAACACTGAGAGCCATCAAGGACTGAAACTGTGAGCAATGTACAAAATTGCTTGACAACAATGACAGACACAAATGTTGACTAGTAACCACCCATGCCATTAATCAATGAACTATGAGGTAATGACTTAATTCTCCACCTCCCACCAAATAGTTGCTGAGTCAAGATATTATATCTGAGCTGTATGATTCACTTAGTCAAGTACAATTTATTGTTCTATGTGTCATCAACTCTGTGCCTTTCGGGGCAAAATAGTCACTAAACTTTACAGCACATTTTGTGAAGCGCTTTGACATGTCTTCCCAATGTGAAATGTGCTATATGAAAATGCAAGGACTTTATTTTTAATGATTTATCATCAGCATTAGGATGAGCTACCTGCCCAAAGCTACGATGTTCGTGAAGTAAATGAAAATAGATGAACTATAGAAAGTGCCACAATTATGCTTGGAGCTTTCAGAAACTGGGTTATTAAGAAACTTTGGAATAAGAGTTGGCACATAGGACACATTCATGGTTGTCTCGTCAAGCCCAGCAGACCACTCATTTTTTCAGCTCTATTTGGCCAATATACATGAGCTCTACCATCTTACTTGTTGAGGAATGATTAAGGATCAGGTGCCAACGGTTGATAGAGCAAAGAAACCATCACACACTCACATACATACACTTCTCACTGAGCCTCATGCTTTTTTTCGTGATTGGCATCACTTAGTGCATAAATACATGAAAGCAACTAGGCTTTAATATCTAAGGTATCTTGAAATATTTCACTCTTTTTGGCTCAATTTGAGCAGGTATGTAATTTCCCACTAAATACAATTCCTGAAGCCTCTGGAAATGGGAGGGTTAATACAAATTCTATAGAGCTGAACTAGGCACTTATCATACACAAGATCCTGTTGGATCACACAAGACAGCGTAAACTATTGGAAAATTTATGCCCTAGCCCACAATATTTATACATTTGGTTGCACTGTAACAATCCTAGAAGAATTTTTCCAGCATTCCATGGGGGGGGGAGGTGGGGAGTTGAAAAGAGCAAATGACAAGGGTTCGATTAAAAAAAATAAAAACACATAAGAAAAATAAAGCGGTGAGTAGAGTACAGATGAAAGCAACAATTCAAAAAAAGACATAATTCATAGAACAGCAGATGAAGAACATACTTGACTTTGGAAAACACAATGTCAACATCTGTAATGGTCACATTCTTTCCGTCTATGACGTTGCAGTCTTTACATAATTTTGACCAGTTTTTCCCATGCATTTCTTTTCCTGTGGCTCTGGTGTCTCCATGAACGGCAAATTTCCTAAAGGCCTCTTCAAGGGCACTTAATTCACTAGGTGCAGTTGCCCCGCCATTGGTACCGTTGGAATCGGACACAGATCTTTTAGCTACTTTCTCGTTTGCATGTTCGCTCTGAGCTCTGATGGGTGGCTTTCCTGCTGCTCCTTTTACCATGTTGGCTTTATGGTCAGCCATTGTGCTCTCAGCTACTGGAAGAAAGGATACAAAAAGTGTATTAAAGCGGATTAAAATAGCAAAAGATGGTTGAGGTGTTTGACGAGGGTTTTAAAATCGTACTTTTGTGGATATTATTTATTTTGCAAAGTGATGAATATTTGACTCACAATAGCAAATTAAAGCACACAGATTTTTTAAAACTCGTCCGGGCTTCAAGGCTTTCTTTACGATTCTGTAATATCAAGTTGATATCTTCCCAATTGATAGCAATGTGCAATATCATCAATTATAACACCACAAACCAAATGTGCTCAGGGAAAGGACCTAATTAACACCATAACACTAAATGTTCATGATAAGCTGAGAGTTTCCCCTAATGTCCTGGTCAATAATCCCCATATAAAGTT